GTGTTTATGGGAATTTTTGACCATTCTTCCAGAAGCGCATTTGTGAGGTCGCACACTGATGTTGGACGAGAAGGCCTGGCTCTCAGTCTCCGCTCTAATTCATCCCAAAGGTGTTCTATCGGGTTGAGGTCAGGACTCTGTGCAGGCCAGTCAAGTTCATCCACACCAGACTCTGTCATCCATGTCTTTATGGACCTTGCTTTGTGCACTGGTGCACAGTCATGTTGGAAGAGGAAGGGGCCAGCTCCAAACTGTTCCCACAAAGTTGGGAGCATGGAATTGTCCAAAATGTCTTGGTATGCTGAAGCATTCAGAGTTCCTTTCACTGGAACTAAGGGGCCAAGCCCAGCTCCTGAAAAACAACCCCACACCATAATCCCCCCTCCACCAAACTTTACACTTGGCACAATGCAGTCAGACAAGTACCGTTCTCCTGGCAACCGCCAAACCCAGACCCGTCCATCAGATTGCCAGATGGAGAAGCGCGATTCGTCACTCCAGAGAACGCGTCTCCACTGCTCTAGAGTCCAGTGGCGGCGTGCTTTACACCACCGCATCCGACGCTTTGCATTGCACTTGGTGATGTATGGCTTGGATGCAGCTGCTCGACCATGGAAACCCATTCCATGAAGCTCTCTGCGCACTGTTCTTGAGCTAATCTGAAGGCCACATGAAGTTTGGAGGTCTGTAGTGATTGACTCTGCAGAAAGTTGGCGACCTCTTCGCACTATGCGCGTCAGCATCCGCTGACCCCGCTCCGTCAGTTTACGTGGCCTACCACTTCGTGGCTGAGTTGCTGTCGTTCCCAAACACTTCCATTTTCTTATAATACAGCTGACAGTTGACTGTGGAATATTTAGGAGCGAGGAAATTTCACGACTGGATTTGTTGCACAGGTGGCATCCTATCACAGTTCCACGCTGGAATTCACTGAGCTCCTGAGAGCGACCCATTCTTTCACAAATGTTTGTAAAAACAGTCTGCATGCCTAGGTGCTTGAATTTATACACCTGTGGCCATGGAAGTGATTGGAACACCTGATTCCAATAATTTGGATGGGTGAGCAAATACTTTTGGCAATATAGTGTATATATATATATTTTTTTGCCTCTTTTACCATTTTTCTGTCACTGACTTCCTTATTTTGCCTGCGACCAGTTTTCATGCCCCAAACATTGTTAAGGTTTTTCTCTTTTTTTTTTTGTTTCTCAATAAAAGCTTGTCATTTTATACTTCTCATTTTTAGTACAGGAAAAAAAAACAAAAAAAAAACAAAACGATTCCATTCCCTTTTTTATTTTAGACCACAGTTTAGTACAGGAAAAAAACGATTCACTTCCATTTTTTATTTTAGACCACAGTCAACAATGAAATATCAAACCTTCATTATGGCAAGGATTAGCTCAGTCAAAACAAAATTAACACTCACAAATACCATAATATTGGGGACAGGGGGCCCAAAACAGGGAGCTTTGGTCTCTCTATCATTGGCACTCAATTTGTAGCTTAAACTGACGTCCTACTGCTGTTAGCCATGGACTTCTTATGTGTGGTAAAGGTCTTCACTCAGGTACCCAATGGGTTGTGGTGCTTTCTGTTTTGCTGGATTCAGTAACTTCTGGCTCATTATAGACTTTAATGTCTATAATACAAGAAATCTGTTTAAAAATCAAATTACCAATAATTATTATAAATATACTGAGACATACAGCTCTTATTCAATATAGTCTTAATTTTACTCGAAGAAAGAATCAGTTTAGTCCAACAAAAATCTCCTAAGAAGTTGGTAGCATTTTTATCGTGGGGCTTTTAGTAAAGCCCAATTAGTATGTCAATAAAAATAATCTGGATCAGTCACTGCAATTTTCTTATATAAACAAAATGTTTTCAATGAGCAGTGCTTGCTCATTTAATCATGATCAAGACTATTAACCCTAAATTTCATTGAGAGATTTGTATTCATATTTATCCTGAAATTAGTCCCATCAGAATAGCAGTAGCACTCTCTATATTCATACTCTTTGAGACCCTAATGCCTGCATTTCAATATTTCTTATAGTTCTTGAAAATACTGGAATGTGCTAAAAATAATCAAATTTTCAGGATTTTAATGTCAGCTTAATTATATTGATAAGTTAACAACTCCTTAGACAAAACCTTTTGTCTTTTAATAGCTTTCCTTTTTAATTCTTCTTGGATTTTATATGCATAGCAACGACATTAAACTGTGACACAACAGTGTACACAATTATATAATAAAAAATTGTAAAATCTTTAAGAACTCAAGTTAAAAAGTCACCTCAAATTATTCACCAACAGTCTTGAAGGAGTCCCTACAGGTTGTTTGAAGACTAACCATTGTATGACAAAGTGTGTCTAAACTTTATTTATATGTATTGTTTGTATAAATATTAAATTGCATGTTTTTAGAAAATACATGGTTCTTCAAATTTATTATGTTAATAAACAGTTCATCCCTTTTCCTGTTCAGATAACCAACAGCAAATTGTCCAAAGGGAGGAGAGACTTCATCTTCACTATTGTTTCTGCAACCAGCAAAGACTCAAGCCAGAGGAACCAGGGCCTCCACAATTAAAATACTGACAAGAAACAGTCAAACCTCTCCAGATTCAAGAAAACAACGAAGAACTAGATCCTGTGGGGAGAGAAGAAAACCCAGATGAAGGTGAAGCAATACAGATTGTCGAATACCAGGTGGAACCAGCATCACCCACGATAACGGATAATCAAAAAGCAGCGCCTTGGGAGCTAAAAGAGGATCAAGCGGAACTAGAATATCTGTCGCTACAATGCTGTATAGTAAATTATAAACATGTTATTCACATCCAATTATTAGTAGGGATAAAAAGGCCGGTCCAAAATGTTGGTAGGGACATGTCCCTATGGTCCCTATGCAAACCTATGGCCATGACATAAACACACAAAGAGAAGCTCTGTCGCTGAAATCTAAGCCGAATATACCACCTGAATGAGCTTTAAAGAATCAAGCAAGCACTTCACCACCATAAAAAACAGTCAGAAATCTTATGCTTCATGGCCTCTTTTCTGTGAAGGACTTTCATCTGTTGGTTCAGAAGAGTTTCTTGAGCTTATGTCTCCACCTTTATGGATTTCAGGACCACCACAGCCAATCTGCTCGTCTCACCCAGCATCATAGGGAAGCAGGGAACAGATAGTTTGTTTTTTAAGGGCTGACTTTTGAACAGTGGCATTTTCGGTGCAGTTTTCTTAAAGCCATATTTATTATTATTTTTTTGCAAAACAGAAAAAACCTTTCTACAACTGAATTCTTGACTTAGTTGGTAGGTTGCATTGTGCATTGTTTACTGTGCACTCATAAGACATTGTTATGAGAATATTGTTTTTAAAAAGCAAAACATTTGATGTTCAGAAGCACTATCTATCCCTGCTGCACCATAAAGGCAGCTTTCAAACCAAAGACAACTAGAGCTGTTTGCTCAGAATACCTGCTGAGGGGAACAGAAGTCCTATTGACGGTTACAGGAATCGCTTGATTGCTGTGATTGAGTCAAGAGATGGAGGAACAAAAATATTAAGGATACCATCATTGTTTTCCAGGCTTGTTTCATCAGATTTGTTTTTAAATAATTATTTAAGCATGGCTGAATAGAAATGTATATTTTTCATTTTTTTATTTTCATTGATTTTTTTATTTATATTATTTTTATTCGATTCTAGTTAATTCTCTGATCTTTAGGGTTTTTTTTTATTTCATCGAATGTGGCATACCAACACTTTTGTTTATGTGCATAGAAGGCTGTTTCTGTTGGAGATTTTTTTTTAGCAGTAAATCATCTTAATAGTTCCACCTGGACTAGGAAAAGACAATAATAATATGTAAAATAATAAAAGTTTGGCTCTTCTTCAACAATGACTGATTACAGCTCATTTAGCCCCATGGTAACAGAGTTTCTCTGGTTTTCACTCCAAGCTTACGGTTCTTGGAATGAAAGCCAGTCATTTATTAAAACCTGTTAGTCTTCCATTTAAAAGTCCTGGTCAGGTAGTGTGAAATACATATCAAACATGTAAATGTATGGGTGAGCAGACTCTTACTCTGTATGGTGAACATCTTGACAGAGTCAAGTCATTTATTTCTGTTTCTTGGACTTATGATGGATGACCAACGTAGATATGCACAACATTAAGATTGATATTTGAGCCTTTAGAGCTACCCCAATTCCTACGCTTTTGGTTGAATGAGATGTATAAAAGTTGGGACTATGGTGAACTTAAAGGGGGCTGGAGAAGCACTTGTGTCATCTTTGAAAAGGTTCAAGTTTGCTCAGTAGAAGCTTTCTGCATTAAGTGAAAGGTTATGTACACAAGCCTCATCTTGGCAGTAATAATGATGTTGTTCCCTCAGTAAACCGCCCAGTAAGTGTACATTGGTTATGGCCTAATCTAGATATTCATTTTATTAAATGAGTTCAGGAAAGATGTGAAGGATGTCTGGTGACATCCTTTAAAAGACATCAGAAAAGAGAGTGTTTTGTGGAAAGATGATCTGAGGTCGGTAAGGCTAAGGCTGGGACATTTTGGGTTAAACAGTTTCTCCATGTGATGGGTTTCTGGGACCTCTGTACTCAGTAGAAAGAAGGATTATGTTTATTGCATTGACTGTTTTATTAATCACACATTGTAGAAAATTACACACATATATATATATATATATATATATATATATATATATATATATATATATATATATAGAGAGAGAGAGAGAGAGAGAGAGAGAGAGAGAGAGAGAGAGAGAGAGAGAGAGAGAGAGAGAGAGAGAGAGAGAGAATATATTGGAAAATAGAGGAGCGTTGGCTCTATTCTAATAATAAAGTTTTGATAATTGTTTATATGTTAAGACCTGAGGGGGGCAGCACTGCACTCAGTATGCCTAGACTGCCGGAAATCAAGAAACGAAGAAGTGGAGGTGTGGAGTCATACATCCGTCCAGCAGGTGGCGATGATGATTCTTTCTGGCCTGATAGGAAGCAGACTGCCTGGACCTGCTAGCAGAGCTAGCTTAGACGTGTTCTCCTGTCGTTAAGGCTGCTTATTTCTGTGTCCGTAGCAACCATGTCTTCAGCTCAGCCTTTAAGGGAGTTGATCAAAGATAGACTGACCGCTGCTGCAGAGGAAATATTCACAGAGTTTGATAAAATTATCGTCCAATATGAGGAAGAGCTGGATCGTCAGCGCAGACTGCTGGAAATCTGCTTGAAACCCCAAATAAACCTTCAGAGTATTGGTATGAACTATGCTTAAAAATCTTCAAAGAAAACCATAATGTCTAAAGTTGTTGAGACATAATAACTTACAAATACCAATGATTATTGGACTTTCTTTCATTATAAATGTTTGTGGTAAATAATAAGAAAAATCGTACCTATAATTTAACTCAAATGTAACCCTTTTGATTACAGTAGACAAAATTAATCTTTTTGTTTGTTTTATGAAACATTAATACATTAATTTAGAATTTATTATTTTAGGAGCATATGACAGTCATTTTAACATTCTGTTTTAAGCTATCTATAAGAAATAGGTTTTGAAGGTTGGGTTACTAACAATAAAATCTCACTGGAAAGCTTGTCTGATGTTTATAAACATAAAGAAAGGGTCAGCTTTTCGATTTTTATTTCTGTAATCAGATCTGTCTATAGTTACTCTAAAATTTTAGGGTTCAGTGTTTTTAAAAGCCTCTTGAGTTACATAATTTTTTTTTTCTCACAATCATGTAAATCAAAACATTCCTTTGCTTGCTTGTCCAGATCTTCCACGGCATTATGTCTGCAAGGAGGAGAAGGAAATCAACTACCAGCAGTTCTGCCACCAGAACAGAAATTCCATTATGAGTCCTCAGCAAACAAAAGAGATGCAGGTTGAAGCAGAACCTCAGGAGGAAGTGATGGATGTAGAACTCCCACAGATAAAGGACGAAGAATTTGTTATTGGTTTGGAGAAAGAGCAGCTTGAATTGAAGCAGGAAACTGATACAATTTCAGTAAATTCTACTTATGGGGAAAAACACAACAGAGACCAACACCTTCTTCAGATCCCTTATGAATCCGAGAACCAAGAAATAAGAAATGACTCAGGATCAAATAAAGAACCCAAACAGAAAACAAGTCATCAAAGCATCAGAGGTTACAATGAGAGTATAAAATTTCCAAATGTAAAAGGATGTAAGATAACAAGCACAAATCAGAATCTCCGTTCTTGTAGATTTTGTGGTAAACTTTTTGGTCGGACGAATTTACCTAAACATGTCAGAACTCATACAGGGGAAAAGCCATTTTCCTGTGTGACCTGCGGAAAAAGTTTTTGTCAAAGCGGTGATTTGAAGGTTCATATGAGAACCCACACCGGTGAGAAACCTTTCTCGTGTTTGACTTGTGGAAAAAGTTTTACTATGAGTGTGGCATTAATCCGTCATACGAGAACCCACACGGGTGAAAAGCCTTTCTCGTGTGTGACTTGTGGAAAAAGTTTTACTATGAGTATGGCATTAATCCGTCATACGAGAACCCACACGGGTGAAAAGCCTTTCTCATGTGTGACTTGTGGAAAAAGATTTAGTCAAAGCAGTCACTTGACTGTTCACATGAGAACCCACACAGGTGAGAAGCCTTTCTTGTGTTCGACTTGTGGAAAAAGTTTTACTGTGCAGATTTCTCTAACCCGGCACATGAGAACGCACACAGGAGAGAAGCCTCTGCCATGTACATCTGTGGAAGATGTTTCGGTGAAGCAGGAAATTTAACTCGACACATGAATATCCACACGAAGAATGAAGCCCTCGGTCCTTAACCTTGGTTAAAGAGTTTGATGGGTTAAACTGGCAATTTAAATATTATATTATCATAATATATATATATTATATTATTACTCTGGCTTCCTCCCACAGATCAAAAACATGACTGTTAGATTAATTGGCTTCTCTAAAAATGTTCTTAGGTGTGAGTGTTTGTGTGAATGGTTGTTTGTCCTGTTTGTTTCTGTGTTGCCCTGCGATGGACTGGCGACCTGTCCAGGGTGTACCCGCCTCTCGCCCATTGACTGCTGGAGATAGGCACCAGCACCCCTCGCGACCCCACTTGGGACAAGCGTGTCAGATAATGTATGGATGGATATTGTATTATTATATGTTTTATATAATACATATATAAATGTATAGAAATAATTTTATCTTATTAATTTAATGTTTTTAATTGTATATGTTATTATTTAAAGGGTTAGGGTACCAAATTGTGCATTTTATACTTTTTTAAAAAATTTTAAATTATTCAAATACATTAAATAAATAATTTGTACATCTATGGTATGTTTGTGTAATGTTGCATTCAGATTTATTCATCAAACAGTATATTCATTTATTTGATTTTGTCCATTTTTCCCCTCCATGTTTAATAGAATTAGCTGATATGAGCAGTTAGGGTCTGATATCTAGTTAACTAAAGTTAAATTACACTTTCTTTTCCAAATATCAATTTCAATGTATTGTTTACTGTTCCAACAATTAATATAGGGGCAATAAATCCTAATTTCATTAAGTTTTAGGATCTCATAATAAGCAATTACAAAATGTATGAAGAAAAGATCTAAAAGGGTTAATTATATTTAAAGATACTTTATTGATTCTGTAGGAGCATTAAACAAATGTATTTCTGCTTAATGACTGTAAGAATCTAAATAAAAAATAGAAATGAAGATTAATAATCTAATATAAAATTCTTGTTTTTTACCTAGAATGTGGTATTTGTGTTTTTCTCCAGCAAGTGGCAACAGTGAGTTTAGACGCTACTTAGAAACCCCGGCGTTTGTTTTGTTCTGTTTCTTTTTTTTTTCTTTTTTTTTTTCATACAACTTTATTTGTTTGTGCAAAGAACAATACAGAGCAGCCTTATAGAACTATGGGAATTCACAACCATTATTTACAGACATTTTCAACAAGTATAAGTTCACATTTTTACCAGTCAAGTAAATGACTTCGCTTTGTGCAAAACAAGAAACAATAAGGAAAAAAGACAAGAAAAAATAAACTAAGATCTTACATTTATTAAACAAAAGTTAACGCTAGGGGGAAACAGCTCTCTAAATAATGTTGAAAAGGACAAAGGCTTCTCGAGTTTTGAGTGCTTTCTTATTTTCTGATTATTGTATGGTGTCAATATATTGTTTAAGTACGTGTTTAAAAGCAGTAATGCATGGTTTGGAGCCTCTATATTTACATTTATGTATAAAGAACTTGGCCATAATAATAATAAAGTCAATTATATATACCTTATCCGATCTCTTTGTTTGAACCTTGCAATTTCCCTTAATGCCGAATAAAAGAAAATCTTTGTCTATTTTTCTATTAATTAAATAATAAATATCGATAAAAAAATAAATTAAAAAGTCTTTATTCACAATTACAGACGTGTATGCCCCTGAAAGTATTCTGTATAAATGCATATCCCTTTTAATCCACATTCAATATTATGCTCAGCGTCACATTATGGACGGCATGTCACGTGATCTTTCATCCGTATCTTAGTACCGCTCGCAAGTTCGTATCCCATTCATGGCATCGTCAATGTTTTAAAATCTTCCAGTTTACATTCAGAGAACTACCGAAATGTTTATCATACAGAAGTATGCCCAAAACAATCTCAGTTTTTTCTTTTTTCCTCCTTTTTTCCCCTTCCCCTTACCCCCCCCCCCTCTCCCCCTTCTTCCCCCTCCCACCTGGCCTAATGTTCCCCAGCCTGCCACGCTTTCATCATCTCCTCATCCATCCAGCCCTTTTCTTTGCGTTAATATCATATGTAATCAGAGCGCTGTGTCTGTCTCGCTGTCAGCTCCCAGATCAGCTTCTCTGATTGGTTGATGCGGCGCATCCAGCAGCAAAACTTCAATTTTTCCATCTCGAGCAGCAGCAGCGCGTTGGCGGTGCGTCAGATGCTTAAAGGCTGCGGGACCTTTTGCTGCACCTATACGCGCGTCAACCATTGACTTTGCATGTAAACTCGCTGCTTCTGCTGCACCTGCTGGGTCCGGTTCACACCGATGTCGAGCGGTTGAACAGCGAGCACAGCGTTAATTTGTTTCCCCATGTTTTTCACATCAGCTGTGAGATGGGCACGCATGGAGTCACATATTAACAGCGATGGTGAGGGGTGGAAAAAAAAAAACACCTGGTCTCCTTACATTCAGCCACTCTTTCATCATCTCCTCAATGAGGTGGTCTCAAAAGTCGCAGTTACAACACACCAGGGGCGTGCACACATAGACACTAGGTGGTGCTAAAGCACTAGGAAGTTTGCCCTCTATCAAAGAAAATGCCCTTTTGAAACTCGTTTTTTTTATTATTATTATTATTAATATTATTAAGATTTTACTGAGGTCGGTTTTGAAATGATCTTTTGAAAACCTGAGCCATTAAAAACGACTGAAACAATGCCCCGAAATGACCGACCTACTTGCGCACACCCGACCAGCCTCTCTCTCTTCCTTTGTCACGTGAACTCGCTTGGTCGCCCGCAGGGCATGCCAGATGCGCAGCATCATAGCAGTTTTCAGATAGCAGGAACGGTCGCTGACAGGCTGCTTCTCCCGTGCCCCATTAGCCAGGTAATATACAGATCAAGCAGAATCATTTTGTTGTGCATTAAAATGTCTCATTCAGCAGCACCAAACACGCATTTTGCCGACTGGTCACCAGATAAACTAGTTGTCTCCTTGTAAGATGCTATTTTACTTTTTATATTTTGTATCCATATTTTTTATCTTAAGTGTATACATTAGTCTATTTTATTGCATGACGTATACCCACAGTTTTTAGATATTTTTATAATTTTATTTACCTATTCCATATTATATGTTTCATGTTGCACGATTGTACCATAAAAAATTCCTAGTTTGTGAACTCCTTCACTAACAATGGCAATAAACCTGATTCTGATTCTGAAAGTTTTACACTGTAGCCCAAGTCAATGACAGATAACGTGAGGACGACCACATAGGCTACAAATAATTTTGGTAGAGTTTGCAATTGCAAATACTGAAGAGGATTAAGGCCACTGAAAAAAAAAAAAGTTAACTGATTTTTAAATTTTATCTAAGTTTAGTATGGGAAAAAAGTCAGAATGCTGACTTTAATCTCATAATTCTAACTTTTTTCTCATAATTCTGACTTTTTGCTGAGAATTCTGACTTTTTGCTCAGTATTCTGACTTTAATCTCAGAATTCTGACAATAAAAAAAGTCAGAATTCTTACTTTTTTCCCATGTTAAACTGAAATAAAATTTAAAAATCAGTTAACTTTTTTTTTTTTTCAGTGGCCCTAATCCTCTTCTGTACAAATCTATGTGTTAAGACAAACGTTTTCTGTTGTATAGGTTTTGTTAGGCAACATAAATTAACACATTTTGGTCTCTTTATTGTGTATTGATTTATTAATTGCAGCACAATACCAAGAAAGGAGGGTTAATCATATTGAAAAATCTTAAAAGCTGTTCACATTTTATTTTTAAGTGGTTTGTGCAGCAGGTATTAAAATAGCTATTATTTTGTAGGCTACCATAAGTCATATCCACGTGACAAGACTTCCAGTCATGTTGCCCTAATAGCCCATTATTTAAACTAATGTGGCATATTTGTGAAAGCTATTATTATTATTATTATTATTATTATTATTATTATTATTATTATTATTATTATTATTATTATTATTATTATTATTATTATTATTATTATTATTATTATTATTATCATTATTATTGTCATGATGGTTATTATTAATATATTGTAGCCAGTCACAGCAGGGAAGCTCTATACCATCAACATCTACCAGGACAGGAGATGAGGAAGAGTTCAGGGAAGACACAGAGACAGAAAAAGACCAGGATGAGGGAGAACAGATGGGTGAGGGAAAACAGGGAGATGAGCCAGATGAAAGAAGTATGCTTTAGTCTGTTCTGTTGGTGATGTGACTTTTTTCCATTGAAAACTCACGTTTAGAGAATGTTACAAATAAAAGTCAAATTTCATTCAACATGCGTTTATTTTTTTTTATAATTAAGTGTTACACGTGCGCTAAAAAGTGCCCTCCCCTCCCCTCCTGAGCACCTGCCCCCCAAAATGTCTGTGCACGCCTCTGCAACACACATAAGGCGCACCGCACCAAAGGGCGCACCGCACATTTTGAGGGAAAAAAAAGACGTTTAAGTGCGCCTTATAGTCGTGAAAATACGGTATATATTTTGCCTCTTTTACCATTTTTCTGTTACTGACTTCCTTATTTTGTCTGCGACCAGTTTTCATGCCCCAAACATTGTCAAGGTTTTTCCCTTTTTTTTTTTGTTTCTCAATAAAAGCTTGTCATTTTGTACTTCTCATTTTTAGTACAGGAAAAAAAAAAAAAAAAAAAAAAAAAAAACCCGATTCCATTCCCTTTTTTATTTTAGACCACAGTCAACAATGAAATATCAAACCTTCATTACGGCAAGGATGAGCTCATTCAAACAAAATTAACATTCACAAAAGAAAGAATCAGTTTAGTCCAACACAAATCCCCTAAGAAGTTGGTAGCATTTTTACCATGGGGCTTTTAGTAAAGCCCAATTAGTATGTCAATAAAAATAATCTGGATCAGTCACTGCAATTTTCTTATATAAACAAAATGTTTTCAATGAGCAGTGTGTGCTCATTTAATCATGATCAAGACTATTAACCCTAAATTTCATTGAGAGATTTGTATTCATATTTATCCTGAAACTTAGAAATGAGTCCCATTAGAATAGCAGTAGTACTCTCTATATTCATACTCTTTGAGACCCTAATGCCTGCATTTAGGGATGCACGATATTGGGATTTTGGCCGATAATCGATATGCCGATATTTTAAAACTCATGTAGCCGATAACCGATACCGATGTTAAAGCTGGACAAAAATAAGTAGTCATTGAAAATAGCAGTTTTGTTAT